AAATCGAAATAATAAATAAATTGATGTCGCATCTTGATTCAAGACTTGTAAGGGTATGAGATTACAAAGTAGAATTCACATGCTGGTAAAAATGAGAATATAAGCAATTGAAAAATGTCCGTAAAATGGACGGGGCTTATTTTTGATATCAGGTTACTGACACAAAAGATTGGTCTCTATTCTAACCTTGTATTTGAATAACAACAGATTAAACAACAAACATTGACATGTGTTATTTTGTTAACAATTACGTTGTGGTGAAATTCTTATTGAAATCTACTTATTTTGTAATAGGAATCAAACAGGTAAGGATCTATGAACTCTTTCAAAGTTATCTTTATACAACACTTTATTGTTTTCTATTTTTTAACTTTGAATTCGATGGAGAAAACAAACTTGTCAGATGGCAAATATAAAATGTATTGTTCTGTGTAAGACACCTATTCACCGATATTAAACTAGAAAGTATTCAATTATACCTGCTCAACGTTCAAGTCATTCAAACATGTAAATATAAAAACACTCTTAGTCCAAGGGCAGGAGGTGATAGCCGAATAATTGTTTTGATTTTGGGAGTTCAAATCGGCGATAAATGCAAATCTATTTACAAAGGGAGAAATATCTACTCTGACCCTTATATTGATTTGAGTATTTAATTACATTTTTAAACAAAGCTTATTTTCTTAAATACTCAGCGTGCACTACACTTATTTAAATCCATTTACTTTACCAAGAACAAATAGGGAAGGAGATTAAGCGGCTACATATTCAGATTGAGCATCTCCGGAAGATTTGGGAGATGAAAATGTAGATATGAACATTCGCTTTCAAGTCATTGATCGGGGATATGTTCTTGATTTCCTTATATATATAAACTCCTATTTATTATAAGATCTAATTGATATATATGTGTGTCTTGTGTTTGCAGGTGAATGAAATTGCAGGTGCCTGTCACAGCTGTAAATCTAAGCATTACCTCGGTCGTGCTGTTGATCTACATAACCCACCCGGACAGTCAAGTACCATGCTAAGTCTGTGCAAGAGTATGGGAGGTTGGGCACAGAACGAAGGAAATCACGTGCATTGCGAGTTTTAATCCATTAACTTTTTGTGCGCTTATTTACTAGTAATTGGAATAAATATTGATTAAAAATTTGATTTATTTATATTCAGAGAAAAATAAAAAGAATATAATGTTTTATAAATATAAAGATTTCAATCAACAACAGTCATTGTCAATGTAATGTGGTTCACCTTACATTTGTTATTTGTAAATTGTCATATACATTTCCACTTTACATTGATAAAATTTCTTTCTAACTTACTTACTTACTTTAAATACTCATTAATTGATAAATTAATTAATGTACTTATATGTTATATCCAGCAATTTTTGGCGGGAAAAAGAAAATAGTCAAATATTGGACAAAGTTATTGTTTTTTTGTTTGTTTTTTTTTTTGTTGTTTAAAGGATGGCGAATTGTATACTACTGTCGATCTTGACATATTTCTTTTGACGGTTCGTATTTCAGCTGACGCTCCGTCTTAGACTGAATAAATGAAGCATGCATTTTACTCACTACAGTGTTGCGAATAGAGTCGTACCTCTAGACGCTTGCATAAATCATGATCACAATGTAGAAATGTATCACCTTGTTCGCCACTCGTACACTTTTCATTTATACTAGCAAATAAATCGTGTGAACAGAAGAATAAAACGTCTTAAAGTACATTTCGGTTCGTTAAAAGCGAGATTTTGGAATTTTATCATTTAAGCGCCTTGTTCGGTATATACCGGTTACGGTATTCAGTGTGGTGCACTTTTTTCAAGGGGCAGGACGTGAAGTGGTTGCACCAAAATGTGCTTGAACAAGATCTTTTTGTGTATTGAACGTTATCTTCGGACTTGCAAACTAAACCACTTGTACAGCATTGACAGAAACATATTTTGTTATTGTTAAGTGCAGTTTAAAACTTACAAATTCGAATAAATTAGGAGAAAAACTGACCAGAACAGTCACATGTCAAATTTCAAAATATCTACATGATCAGTTTATATCTTCAATAACTTCGTCAAAACATAATCTAGGATGCTGAAACCTTTAACCGAGTGTGGCATATATATTGCATTATAGAATAGACATACTAATGAACTTCAAAATAACAAAGAAACCCACTTGCCTGGCAAAAATTCGTTCACCCGTTTCAAAACATTACGCCGATATCGCCATTTTGTCAAGTTTGCAACCAATTCGCTCGCTTGAACCAAGTGTGCAACCACTTCACGTCCTGCCCCTTGTTTTTTGTTTAACTCATGGAGAATACTTTAATAGAGCACATGATTAATATATAAAACCGAATCTTTAAACAAATCAACAAGCTATTTCATAAGATGTATAAATAACAGTCAAAACCTATTTGTTATCATCAACAGTTAAATAAATAACTTTTACGGTTACATTCTTTATAAAAATTTGTTTTTGATCTCTTTATCAGTTACTAAAATGTTTTTTAAATGTAATACTTAGACGAGGCTTATGCTTATGTCGCAATTAAATGTATCCAGTAAACATTTGAAAGATATTTATAAAATTTAAAGGGACTCAACTGAGGTTTTCTGACATTACGGGGCTGGTGATTAATGCTCTTTTTGATGTAGGTCTAGACCAATAATGTTAAATAATGATACGCGGAAATGTTTTATGAATGATCGTCAGCTCGGAACTGCCGAGATATTCCAGACAGGTTTCAAGTGCATATAAATTGTGATCGGTTTTCAGCATTTGAAAATATAAACACATTACCAAATATTTCAACTGTGAGTAACGATTGTAAATGACTAAACTGAATCTTATACGACACAAATAACATGTATGTACAATTTCAGATCAGTTGCTCACTCCAATTTTAAGAATAAATATTTCAATTGTGAAAAATGACCCAAAACTGAAAAGCGTTGCAACGCTTTTCACTTAAATCGTGTTCAGACAAGCATAACAAATACGGGTTTAATTTATTTCTTGTATGTTTCTTAATTATCGTTTGCATATCTGTATGTTTCACGTGCCCCAGGTGATTTTTATCAGAAAGAAGTATTATTTAACATTGTCCGATTATAAGGTTAACGTACCTAACAATTTAAACACGCTCTATTAATGCTTCAGAAAAAAAATCCCGGCGTTATCTAATATTTGTCCCGTTTAGTTAAATGGTATCAATAGATGTAATTTAAATAAACGCTGACTAATTTTGCTTCCTCTTTCATTGTACTGCCGATCGTCGGATACCCACGGTTGATTACCATGTAACATAACTTCTAATCATCTGATAAATGTTTTTTTTTGTTATTGATCTTCCTGTAAATTTTTGAGAAATGAAAATACAACTATATACATCATAATTTGTTAAATCGTTGCGTACGGCAACCACCTCTTACACATATTATTGTCATTATATTTAGTCATTTTGATTAATTGGATATCATGTTGAAAATAATTTAAAGTCCAAATTTAGAGCAACATCTTCGAACACGTTGTATCCTTTATGCTTAAAGTATTTGTTGTTGTTGTTGTTGCAAAATTTGATTTTATAATTTGTTATTTTTAATTTTATTGTTTTGAATCATCATAAAGGTTTCCATTTTTTACTCTTTCCCATTGACTTTTTTAAATACATTTATAAATAAATATGTTTAAACATTTATAGTCATATATCTGATGCAATAAGGTGTGAAAATCGGATAAACATTTATTAATAAACATGTATACATATATCTAGGTTAAGAAATTAAATCAAATCAAAGAAATGTGAATTAAATTCAAGCATACATATATTTGACCAAAAAGACAAAAGAACATGTAAGTAAGATAGTAGCCGCACTTGGAATATGTCTTCATATTATTTACATACACTGGTTAGTGTTTTAGATACCTCGATCGCTACGCTCTCTCCTGCGTCTTCAAATCGTCACCAGGCGTCTGTCAATACTATGGAGACCTATTCCAGCGTACGGTAACTATTACTTATCCGGAACTCAACAAAAGTGGATTTATTCCTAGCTTCCATCCCTCCCCCCGGTAAATATTCCTTTACGGTTAGAGATTAACGTTGTACCCAGCAATCAGAGTTGTTCAGTCAGCATCGTTTTGCATACCCACCTTATTTAACCTTGCTTCTATGTTCGTTCGTACACCTGATTATCTTGGGAAACCTCCTAAACACCTATTTTAAACTTCTAACTTCAATAATTTCTTGGTCAGTCCGTTCTCACAAATTCAAACATCTCCGCGTAGATTTAAACCTGCGCAACTCATCCTTCCACCTAACGTATTATTTATAACTGAGCAACGGTCCACTTAGACATTACACCTCGGTCTTTGTCTGTAATATCTCCTTTTAGAACTAACCTTTGTTATTATGTAACCGCGATATGTGACCCATTCAACCCGATTTTACTAACTGCATTGTTTAAACCTTATAACCGTAATAATCCGTGTTCGCTTTCAAAAGTAACTTGTGATAAATTAGTTATAAATACAGAAAGGGATTATTTGTCTCCGCTCAGACATATTACCTCGCACACGCCGGCTCATCACCATCATTGTGTACTCCAGCTCTGGTTGCATGTCACTGGCTAATCGAGTCATCACACGCTATACTTCCCACAAGAAGATGTACAAGCTCAACACCTTCTACTCATATATTCAGGCAGCGTTTCTTATTTCTTAATCCGCACTTATGGAACATGAATCGCAGTTATGCAGTATTATCCACCGTGCAGGAGATCCATACGGGACGTGACCTTGATGCTCAGGCCATGACCTAACTATACTGTATACTCATAAGATCGGTGGGTGTTTTGAGCCTTACATTATAAAATGTCTTAGGACAGGTCTGGATCATATATAGTACTATTCTCAAAAATTCAGGGTAAGCGGGAGTCAAGGCTTTGGTATGCCACTACGTGACTTGTGTATTTGTATTTGTATATTAAAAAGTATGTAACATCCGTGAGTTCTTCCTCCGTTATACGACAACGGTTGATTTGGCGCCTAAGACCAGCGATGTCGAAGCGACGATTTTGCACAGCGGGACACAACGAAGTACCTGAAATAGAAAATTAAAGGTGAGTGATCGTTTATATACCTGTAGTTTGCTAATTTTGAAGATGTCAGATCAAGATATAGCTACAATTTTTGAAAATTTGTCAGATAAATTGAACAATATTTCAACTATCATAGGTACACAGGGTTTATCAGAAATAGTACAAAATTTTGATGGAAATTCTAAAATATTTTAATGACTGGATAAAATCTATAGAAAAATATGCTGTTTTAAAAAGGTTTGGATGATAATAAAATAAAATTAGTCGCATTTCAATCAAGTAAAGGAACTGTAAGCGATTTTATATGTAGATATTTGCGTGATAATATCACCGTAATTCGTGGGAACAATTAAAAGAAGAAATAAGTACTAGATTTGGGGAAATTAAAGATTTAAATCATGAATTTTATCTTTTGAGAAATTTAAAACAAGATTTGGGAGAAAGTGTTCAAATTTTTGGGGAAAAATTTATTAATTGTGCTGAAACTGCTTATGAAAATTATAAACTAGGAGATAATAGTTTAATTGAACTTCAGTTAGTAGAATTGTTTACGGATAATTTAGCGCATAATTATTTAAAACTTAAACTTATGAGAGAAAAGCCAAAAACTTTACAAGAAGCAATTACGTGCGCAATGAATGAACAGAATTTCAGAGCTAGATTTTCTGCCAGAGTAAAATTTTCTAATTCTCAATATCACGCAAAATATAATAATTACAGAGCAAATAATTCTAATCATTATTATACAAAAAATTTGTGCATGTACTGTAAGAGACCAGGTCACCATGTACGTAGTTGTAGATTTAGGAAAAATGAAATATATTCTGTATTTCACCGACAAAATTTTTCACGATTTAGGAAAAATAATAGCAATAATAGTTTGAAATCAAAGATTAAGTGCTGGAAATGTAATAATTTTGGTCATATTATGCGTGAATGTCGTAAACAAAATTTTTACGACAGAAACAAAATAAATTTTCAGGAAAACTAGCAAGTTCCTGTCACAAAGGGGTCATTGACAGGAACGATAAAATACCAAAATTTAGTATATAGCATTAGCTGGAAGCCCTAATTCGTGTTTGATTAAAATAGAAAACTATAAATACAGATCGTTAGTAGATTCAGGTGCTGAAGTTTGTCTCCTGCATCGCAGAATATATAGAAAATTGAAGAATCCCCCTCAACTTATAAAACAGAAAATAAATTTATGTTCAGTTGACGGAAATTATTTACATATAGATGGTTATATAAATCTTAATTTTCAAATAGGGAAAACAGAAAACAACTCAAAAATTCTATGTTGTTTCTAAATGAATAGAAATATTATTTTAGGCCGTGATTGGTTAACACAAAATGGCGTTAGATTATATTTTGATTTAGGCTGCTTAAGAGTTAATAATACATATGTACCCCTCGAAAGAAGATATTCATATTGCATCAATTGTTAGATTAAAAAAGGATGTTATTCTGAAACCTCAAACGGTTAATGTGTGCACTGCTAAGTTAAAACAAAATCCAGGCTTGGAAAATGATAAATTACATGAATTAAAAAGTATAGAAACTGGAATGATTGCTTCTGAACCAGGTCTTATGATAACAAATTCTGTTATGAAACTTTCGGCTGATAGAAGATTTCCTATTATGATTGTCAATAATACACATAAAACTATAAGATTGAAACGAGATTCAGTAGTTGCTAAAGTTTCAGAAGTTGACAGCATTAACTCGGTCACAGAGGCTCTTCAAACAACTTCCCCTCTTAACAACGATTTCGAACGTGATATTCATACACCTTCAGAGCATTTTAATATTGTTAGAGACTTATTAAGGAAAAATAAAAATATTTTCGCAAATAAAGATTCTGAATTATCACAGACAGATACTGTAACCATGAAAATACCAACAGGTAATCATCCTCCAATCAAATTAAGCCCATATCGCACACCTTTAAACAATAGAAAATTTATGAGTGACGCAATCGATGAGATGTTAGATGCTAATATTATAAGAAGAAGTCATAGCCCTTATTCATTTCCTGTTGTTATTGTCGGGAAACGTGACGGCAGTAAACGGTTTTGTGTTGATTTTAGACAATTGAATAAAATTACAAAGCCAACATCATATCCTCTCCCATTAATTGACGATATTTTAACACTACTAGGGTCTTCAAAATATTTTACAACACTAGACATGCGCTCAGGGTTTTGGCAAATACCCGTGCATGAATCAGACAAGGAAAAAACGGCTTTTACGACATTCCGAGGCTTGTTCGAGTTCAACCGAACCCCTTTTGGCCTAGTTTCTGCCCCTGGAGTTTTCCAAGAACTCATGTCACATGTCTTACAAGGTTTAGAGGCATTTGCTGTCAGTTATCTTGACGACATTCTAATATTTTCGAAGTCATTAAATGAACATTTATCACATATACAGACAGTATTTTCAAAGCTTAAAGAACATAAATTAAAACTTAAACTGAAAAAGTGCAGTTTTATTCAGCAACAAACAAAGTACCTTGGTTTTTATAATTGATCATGAAGGTATAAAACCAGACCCAGAAAAAGTAAAAAGCTATTAGGTCACTTCCGGTACCAAAATGTGTTAAAGATGTCAGATCTTTACTTGGTGCTGCTGGTTTTTATAGAAGATTTTGCCCTAAATATTTCTAAAATTGTTGAACCTCTAATCAATCTTACAAGAAAACGTGTTTTGTTTAAATGGACAAAAGAATGTCAAGAAAGTTTTGAACAATTAAAGAAAATGTTAACACGTATTCCACTTTTAGCATTCCCAGACCCAAATAAGCCTTATATTCTATACACGGACTCCTCAGATTTAGTGGTCGGAGCATGTTTAAGTCAGAAATGTGACAAATCTGGTATTGAAAAACCTATATACTTCTTATCTCATAAATTAAGTGAATCTCAAAGAAAGTACAGTACCATAGAAAAAGAAGCATTCAGTATTCATTATGCGTTACAAAAATTAGATGTTTATTTACATAATGCAGAGTTTACTATATTTACAGACCATAAACCTTTAAAATATCTTCTAGAAGCACCTATGCAAAACAAAAGAATTCAGCTTTGGGCTTTAAATATTTCTGCTTATAACTGTAAAATTGAATATTTGCCAGGAAAATTAAATTTAATTGCCGATTTCTTTTCTTGACCTCCAGCTGATGATAAAAATGCTAACAAATCCGATATTGAACTTTATGAGCCTGATATAAATGACAATGCCTTCGAAATAACAGTCTCAAATTCAAGTAATAATTCAAATAATGATAATGTACATGTTGTGAAAAATGATGAAAGCTATGAAGTAAATGCTTTTGATTCTACGCACTTTAATGCCAAAGAAATAGCAAACAAAGAATAACAATTTCAAGAGCCAATTGTAGAAGATATTAAACAATTCGAAAAATTAAATATGGCCTCAGAGCAAGATAAAGATCAAACTATTCTTGAACTGAAAATGTTACTACGTCACGGACAGCCAACTAAATCAGTGCAGAGCAAATATTTAGAAATTGACCAAATTCTTTATTATCTGTCTAATGTAGATGATAATCCTAATCTTAGATTGTTTGTTCCGCAACACTTAAAACACCTTGTCATTACTCAATATCATTTAAATAATGGTCACCCAGGAACACAGAGGTTATTTACAACAATAAAACAAAAATATTTTTGGCCAAATATGTTCAAAGAATTGTATGAATATGTTTCTAAATGTGTTGATTGTCAGTCACGTAATCTTACAAAAATAAAAGCACCTATGGGCGAAACAAGAGTACCAATGTATTCATTTCAGACCATGAGTATCGACGTTATAGGGCCATATGAGAAAACATAAAGTGGTAACCGCTACATTATTTGTTTTATTGACCTTTACAGTGGTTATCCCGAGTGTTTCCCTACTGCTGACAAAAGTACTGATACAATTATACATTTACTTTTAGAAGAAATTTACCCTAGATACGCATGTCCATTACAAATTGTCACTGACAATGGATCAGAATTCACAAGTAATGCTTTCAAAGAAACACTTAATGAGTTAAGAATTGATCACGTGCGTACAACTACCTATCATGCTGCCGGAAACGCGAAAAATGAACGTTCTCACCATGTCATACATGATATCTTAGCTAAAAGAATCCAGAGAAATCTCAAAACAATGGGATATTCATCTTAACATGACACTAGCCGCACTTAGATTCAATGTCTCTAGGACTTCAAAGCATAGTCCATTTTATTTGTTATATAACCGTGATCCAATTCTCCGGTCGACCTGTTGCTACAACCAAGGCAGCGCTATCATGGCGAAGAGTATCACAAAATTGCATTACAAGAACAACATAATACTTTTCTATCTGTTTATAAGAACCTTAAAAAAGCAAAACGAGAACAAGCTAGCTATGCAGATAAGACCGCAAAAGATATCAAATTTGAAATAGGCGATCCCGTATTTTTATAAAAATTTTCGTAAGAGAAGCAAACTAGATGTGAATTGGAAGCCATTTTATAGAATTATGGAGAAAAGGTCACCATTAACTTATATAATAAAAAAATCAGTTTGACAATTCAACAGTTAAAGTCCATGCAGAACAAATTAGGCTCGCAAATATTAATGACTGGTCAATACCAAAGCAGATGATACTGGCCGACCAAAAAGAAATGCCACATTTGTAGTAACACCTGAAAATAGCGATACTGATGATGCTTCAGAAATACCAGAATCAGTATTACCCCAAGTTGCTAAAAATGTTAGAAAAGAAAGGTCAAATTCTGATAGTGAAGATGATATTCCATTAGCCGAATTACAGAAACATCTTCGACAACAACAACAAATTTCAAATAATGAAAATGCTCAAAGTAATGCACATTCAGACGAAATGCAATCGCAGACTGATTCAGAATTATCAGACTCAAATTCCATACAAGTAAATAGCAATCCTCAGTCACAAGCAGCATATAATGCTATGCAGTCAGATTCAATGGCTGATGATAATGATTCGGATAATGAAATGTTTATAAACTCTATTTCTAGCAAAAAGAAAAGTATTGTAAAACCACGATATAAAGTATCTGGTAAGGTAAACACAAAGGTACATAGTAATAATAAACGCTTGAAACCAAATGTTAAAATGTTTTTACAAGGATTAGCCAGTATGCTATAGAACGTTATATTCCGTGTTATATGCTATACTAATTTTCGGTAAATTGACCTCAGGCATTGTAAATAGTAATTATGGAAAGAAAAAAATATATATATGTTACAAGAAACGATAATAAAACAAAACAGAAAATTACATTATTTAATCATATATCTTTTTGGTGGTTGTATTCATTTATATCAAGTTTCAACTTGATTTTATTAGAATTATATATCTTAGATTTTTTTTATTATTGCTTATAATGATCGTTATTCGCTATATGTTTATTAATAGATCGGTTAATTAAAATGCATTTCAAAGTAAATGACAGCACTTAATCATGAGTTTCAAATTGATTATATACTTTATTTCATATTAGAATAACATGTGTATACATACATGTTTCAACTGTCAACGCACAATCATTAAATAAAGTTTAAATTGGGATAAGTCTTATTGTCGAAATAAAACTAAAGTTAATAGCTTAGTTAAAAACTAACAAAATATGTCTAGAAAAGTAAATTTTTTTTTAAAATATCAAGTATTACATAAATAAGATACTTACACTAGAGAACATCTTTCATTGGAATTCTTATCCTATACATTTTATGACAGTTGTCTTGTTGTTCATATATCTGAAACAAAATTATGTTTATTGTATATAATATCTATTAACCGATCTGACAACGGACGAAAATGCAAAATATTGGTCTAACGATCACTTGTCGTCCAGCCAAGACAGAGAGGTGCGAGCGAATTCGCCGGTACAGTCAAACACCGCCTGACTAGAAATATTACAGTCAGCCTCTACGATGTCAAACTATGTACAACAAAAAACCATGCAGATATAACCATAAAACACCTTCTTCGATGTAAAAACCATGCAGATATAACCATAAACACACCTTCTTCGATGCAAAAACCATGCAGATATTACCATAAACACCTTCTTCGATGTAAAACCATGCAGATATAACCATAAACACCTTCTTCGATGTAAAACCATGCAGATATAACCATAAACCCCTTCTTCGATGTAAAATTATATGAAATAAGCGTCTACGATGTTTAAAATACATAACTATACTGTTACAGCCGTCAACAACAACAACAACAACAACAACAACAACAACAAAATTGTGGAATCAAATAAACTTTTGTTCCTGTCTTCAACCAGAGAAGCCGAAAACTTCCGTTTATCGATAGAATGTGTTTTTCTATGTGTTATATAAACTTAAAAACAAAAACCCAGAGAAATACTGATGACAACTTCTTATCAAAATAATTATTTGTGCGCGACAGAGATATCCAAAATAAATATCACATAAGCAATTGCCAGAATCGTGCAACAGCAAACTGTAAATTTAATTATCTTTTACTCAAAAACGTTGCTACATAAATGAAGAATTATAGATCTATCATCACTTTGTTGTATTGTTCAATACAAGACATTCTTTTTACAACTACGAAACAAGAACAGCGTTTACAGATGTGCCAATAAATATTCGAATATAACTTTATCAACTTGTGTATCAAGTCTACGTTTACACGTATCAAATAGATATATACAAATTTAAAAGAATCTTCAAGAACATCAAACATTTATGAACAATTATGAGTGTCAATTTAAAATTATACTTTATAAAGCTACATACCAACGATTTGAAATTCCCGACACGTCACGACCACCAAGCCATACCGATGTCAGCAAGTACCTGTTACAAAAAATATACCTGTCACAGGAAGTGTTCAATGCGCATGCACAATACACGTTTTACAGGAAATGAAACACCTGGACATTTTATCAATTTAATATTTATTGAAAAACTTATAAAGCTATAATATTTACCTTATGTTACTTTAACATATTATTTCTGTATTTTTTTTGCATAAAGATTAATCGAACATTTAACAATAATTATTATTTTACTTATTCAAACTTTTTAAAACTAATATCAAAAGTAAACTTACCTGTGCTACATTGTATCTATCCAAATTTTTCTATTAAAATGAATTCAAACAAAAAGGTTACGCACGATATACAATTGACCAATCAGAGATTATATGACTTAAGGTGATTTTTTTCTTTTAAAGATAAAGTAATAAAAAGTCATTAGATAACATCTCTGACCGGACATCTCTGACCTGATATTACCTTAAGGGTAAAACAGATGTCAAGTTGATTTTAGATTTTAGATTTTTATAATTTGTTAGAACGAGTTTGAAATGTTTGATATTAAATAATAACTTGTTCAATACTTTTTTTTTTTAAATATTTGTTTTTATAAGTAATGGAGGAATTGTCGTATAGCTGGTTGCACAGGCTAATGAGTCATACACGCTATATTCAAAAAGAATGACTAGTCAACATATATATACATATATTAGGGTTTTTATTTCTTAATGTGCACTATGGAACATGACATGCAGGAGATGCATACGGACTGACCTTATGTCAGGATGATTAATATATGTAACTCTAAAACGTGTGTATTTATATACATTATAAAATGTCCTTAGGACAGGTTGATATTATATATACTATTCTCAAATGTCAGGGTAGGGGAGTTCAGCTTTGGTATTCCACTAGTTGACTTGTGTGTTTGTATTTGTATATTAAAAGTATGTAACATCCGTGAGTTCTTCCTCCGTTATACGACATTATAATTATATTACTTTTTTAAATAAAATCTTATTTTGTATTATATCTGAGCCTTAAATTTGTAAACAAGGGTGAGTTAACAGAGAGGGATAACGTAAATAACATAAATAGTGCATGAGTGCAACACTTTAACTTATACTAGTTAACAAATCTGCTCTCTCCTGAAATATTTCAAAACAAAAGTTATACAAATAATGTAGTGAAACAAACATAAAACATATATGAAACTCGTGTTACATAATCGTTTATTTTTTATCAATTGTATCGCGTAATCCAGTAAACTTATGAAGTTAAGTTTGTCTTTTAAATTACGCTGTATTCTTGTTAACATTTGTTGAATCATTACTGAAGTTGACAACGGAGTAAATTATCAATGAAAATACCTAAAATGAGATTTTTTGCTAAGTAGATTTATCAACCTTTTTTAAACACATTCGTGATTTAATTTTGGAAGCAGTTAGTACCTATCCCATTTTAATCTGCTATTTGCGTAACCTGTCAATTATCGATAACGCTCCGCCCAGTAAATCGAACACAGCACTAGTAAACCTGGGAAAAAGTATGAAATTAATTGTATATCCCAGTAGAAACTGTTTTTCTATGCCGTAGAAGTCAAGAAGTCAAGAAGGTCAGATCATTATGATCGAGTAATACCTTTTATTTCTATTAAAATATGTGAAGCATTTATATCAAGTTGGTGGAAAAAATATATAATGTCCCTGTCAGAAGCTCAGTTTTTTTTGTTATTTTAATTCATATATGAACGGAATGTCATACACGAATACACAGGCAAACCGACACTGGAATATTATAAAAATAATGCTGATTGTAATAATAATAAACTTAAAAAGTGAAACAATTAAATGCCTCGCTAGCGGTGCGCAAATGCGTTCCATTTCCCCCACCGAGTGCCTCAAATTTTACCGATAGTCACGTGACATGTGCGACAGATACCAGACGGACAGTAAATCACGTTAAGATTTGAAGAAAAATCTGCTTTAAACTGATATTAATCAGCAACTTTTTAATTGGTCAGATGTCACTGGGTCATAAAATGTTGTTAGAGTATGTAACCGCAACTTCTGACCCTCTCTGGTGCGATATTTGTGTGTTATGCAATTAATTAGCGTGAAATGCAGGGGTCCAAGAGAAAACAGCCGATTTATGACACTTCGTTTGATGCGGGTCGGACTTACTTTGAATCGGCATAACTTTTTTAATAATCAAGCAATTAACATGCAGTTTTAAGCATGTGAAAGGAAATTCATTTACAGAGGCAACCGTGTAAGGGATTTTTGTTTGCTCAATCAGCGACTTATTTATGGTTAATTACGTAATATATATGTTGAAAAATGTCGCTTAAAATGTTTGACGTTACGTTATTTTTCTTTTTGAGAAAAGATAAAAAAATTTGAGACACGGTTCTCCAGATATTATAAATATGTTTACAAAAAGTAAAAAAATGACTTTGCT